CCTGGTCCCAAAGGGTAAAGCTGGCACTTAGCCAGCTTCCTCCTGTTCCCTTTTCATTCAGTTGAAGGCCCCAGCTCACAGAGTGGCGCCAGCTACATTCAGAGTAGGTTTTCCCTCTTTGGAAACACCCTCACAGGCACACTCAGTGGTGTGCCTCATCAATGCCCCAGGTGTTTCCTAATCAGTCAAGTCAACAATGGAAATCAACCATCACACTGGAGATGTCTTTTGTACAAGAGAAAATTTAGTTATCCAATAGAAAAGAGCCTGGTCCATTGTGGGAACCTTCCTGTGGTGGTCTGAATAAGAATGGCCCCCATAGGCTCATATATTTCAATGCTTGAAGGATTAGGAGGTATGACGTTATTGGAAGAGGTAAGTCACTGGGGTGGACTTTCAGGTTTCAAAAGCCCATGCCATTCCCAGTTTCCCAGTTAGATTTTTTTTTTTTTTCTGCCTTGTGTTTATAGATCAAGGTGTAAGCTCTCAGCTACTGCTTCAGCACCATGCCCAGGCCTGCCTGCTGCCATGCTCTGCACATGATGGTCATGAACTCACCCTCTGAAACTGTAAGCACCCCCAAAGTTGTTTTTTTGTATAAGTTGCCTTGGTCATTGTATCTTAGCATAGCAACAGAAAATTAACTAAGACATTTCCCTATGAGTTATTGATCAGGAAACCCCAGAGCACCCCACCAAAAAACCCAGGCTATTGGTTGCCCACCATAACTAGATGGTAAGAGCTTATTGCTGCAGATACAACACACTTTGGTTGTAGGACACAGAGAGATCAAGCTGGAACTGATCTGAAAACTTCTTCCCTGCAGGCTAGCTTTCAAAGTGCCAGAAATGTTGTGTAGGCTGTTGGGGGGAAAAAAAACCCACCAGTGGAATTATCCTGTGATGAACACAGCACTGTATACAACAATATTGTCTCACCTGCCAGGCCAGATGTGCACAAAGGTTATGGATATAATCAATCATTTTGGACTGACTTTAAGTCCTGTTGAACAGGAAGGGAATTCATGCTTGGTGCTATAAACTTGATCAAAATGTCCACCTGAGTGCCTTCAGTTTGGACATCATATCACCTGACTGCATTGTTGGAACTGTGGTGGCTAAATTTTAACTGTGAAATTAAGATGAAGCCACTCTTGTAAAAAGAGTTTCCCGAGTGGCAGAGGGTTGCAGTCCCTCTATCAGCATAGAATCCTGCACATAGAATGTGTCTGGGGATGACACATCTGTGTGAATGAAGGTTCCATGGAGCTTTCCTCCCTCCCTCCCTCCCTCCCTCTCTCCTCCTACCCTTCCCCATCTCTCTTTCTATCTCCCCCTCCTTTCCTCACCCCATTCTCCTTCTTTCTTTTTTGGGGATGGGAATGAGAATTTGGGCAATTCTTCACCATATAGCTCTGGCAGGCCTAGAGCTCACTATGTGACCAGGCTGGCTTTGAACTCCCAGCGGCACTCATGCCTTTGCCCCTCACATGCTGGGATTTCAAGTGTGCATCACCCTGCTCAGCCAGAAGTCTTGCTGATCCACCAGACAAAGGCGGACTTTAGTCTCTGTTCCAGGTGCTGGCTCTCGGCCAGCACAGTTTAACAACCTGAATTTAACCATGCGGGGATTTAACAGTGAGAAGCAGATCCCATAACTATCACCTGTAGTAAGACTGCACTTCAAAAAGCCTGTTGGTTATACTGTCAGATCTCTAGACAGCTTCTAAACCAAGGAAATGCTAAACTCAGATGTGCCTAATAAAGGTGGGTTCTTTATTTACAGTATTCACTGCCTTGAAATATTTTACAAACAGGTAAAATATAAGTGTGGAAAGAAAACATAAGGAAAGTAGGTAAAAATTAGAAATACTAAAAAAAGAGGGTTTGTTCAAAAAATTGTCACTGATTTAGATGTGAAGCAACTGTAAAAGACTGGAGGAAAATAAGACAAAATCTCAACTAGTCTACTCAAATGACTGTAAGTTCCTTTAACCTGTATTCGACTCTAAAACAACAAAACTGTAATGACCTAATATGGGCACCATCACTGCGAAATTGAATCTGCAGGCTCTTGAGGAGTTTTTGTTGTTGTTTGTTGTTGTTGTTGTTGTTGTTGTTACTAGAAGGCTTGTGAGTGAATGCACATTTGAAATTCCAAGGCAAGATAAAATACTAAGAGGATTCATGAGGCTGGCTGTGATGCATACCTATAATCCCAGCTATTCAGGAGGCTGAGGCAGGAGAATTGCAATTTCAAGATCAGCCTGCTGCAAAATCAAATGTAAAAGGTGGCTGGGGAGAGAAGGGCGGGTGGGGAAGGAGGGAGAAAGAAAAAGAGGAGGAAAGAAGGGGGAGGAAGAGGAAGGAAGGAGACCTGTTTTATGATTTTGTTTTTAACTGACTTTTACAACTAGTCAATAAACACACAAATCGCCAAGTACCCACTCCACATCTCCTGCACATTGTTCAGGCAGGGTCACCTCCTTCTTCCGGACATACTGGAGAAGGCATTGCTTGGGAGTTCTTAGGTGGGAACAGCACAGCTGGATTGTTGGGAGGTCTCTGAGCTTCCCTCCTATTACCTGCCACAAAATGGCAGGAATCTCCTATTCCTATTCCTATTCTTCTTCCTATTCTTCTTCCTATTCTTATTCTTATTCTTATTCTTATTCTTCTTCCTATTCCTATTCCTATTCCTATTCCTATTCCAGCAGAAAGTTAGAAAGCTTGAGAGGCAGACAGTGGATACACCCATGTTTCTGGTTCTCTCAGATGAGAGTCTCAGGATTTAGTGTCAAAATTAAGTGTGAACTGGAAAGCTGCCCCTCACGGCAACACTTACATGCTTAGCATTTGTTGAAGACTTAAGGACAGGTTTCTGAGGTGGTGTGCACATGACATGAAATGGCCCCACAGACCCAGGCGTTTGAACACTGGTCCTCAGGTAGAGGTGCTCTTTGAGCGACTTAGAGACTCTCTGGGAGGTATGGCCTCACTGAAGGAAGCAGGTCACTGGATGTGCTCTGAGGCTGACACCAGGCTCAGCTTCACCTCTGCTCTCTGCTCCTGCCAACACAGTAGGTAAATGCCACTGCCTGTAGGGTCTACGTGCCCATTTCAGTAGTTAGGGGGGTTGAGGAACTGATTCCAGACCCCACCGCCTTTAATTTGCTGCTTCCCCAGTCACTCTCTTCCTTGCTGTGGTAAAAGAAGAGCATGAGGTAATCTAGAGTTGAAGGAGAAGAGCCACTGGGTAGGAGATGAGTTGAGTCCCTCTCAGCAATTCCCACCAAGGAATAGCAGTACGGGGAATCTTCCAGTCACCAAGGATAAACAATTGTCTCGATGTTGAACAGTCCTGGGGTTCTCCTTTTTTGTCTAACACAAAGAGTGACAACTTATTTTATTTTATTTTATTTTATTTTTTTTGGTTTTTCGAGACAGGGTTTCTCTATGTAGCTTTGCGCCTTTCCTGGGACTCACACTGTAGCCCAGGCTGGCCTTGAACTCACAGAGATCCACCTGCCTCTGCTTCCCGAGTGCTGGGATTAAAGGCATGCGCCACCACCGCCCGGCCGAACTTATTTTAAAATAGAAAGTAAAACACTCCTATCTGCCAAAAGTCCACGGCAGAGGAGTCCATACAAAAATGAGATTTTGAATCAGGAATGTCTGGGATCCAGGTTGAGAGCATTAAATAACTCACTAATTTCAGCACTGGTTTTAAGCTTTGATTGTCATCCCCCATTCAGGGTGTATATTTCTTCTAGAAACAAATATTTACTTTTGTTGTTTCACAGGAAAGAAGCAGAAATAGCAAACCAGCAACTATAATTTTGTGGAATCATCTGCCAGAGAATTTCACTTCATATAAACCTTTGGCCCAGCTGTGGATCAGGGTCAGCGTTACTTTTCTATTTGAAGCTGACAGAATTTGTAAATGTGTAGAAAGTCTTTCTCGCATCAACACTGTTGGACGGACTAACTGCCTATTTCCTCCACTCAAGAATGTATGAGAAACCAAGAAACATTTACCATTAAGGCCAAAGCATACTTTATGTGTACCTGTCATGTACTATATCTTCTTTTTTCTATTTTGGCCTTTTTTTGAGGCAGGTCTCAATGGCCGATTAGTCTCAACTAATTGGCAATTTCTAGGCCATTGAAACTGTTTCAAAGCAAAGTGTACAGTGCCTAAGGAATGACATCTGAGGTGGATCCCAGGCCTCCACCCTATCATGTGCATACATATGCACCACCCCAGCATCTATAAACATAGAAAAGGGATGAGAGAGGCCTAAAGCTTTCAATATACACAGTTAAAAGTTCATTAGAACAAGTATTCCTCCCCAAACTTATCAGTGTATTTTTAACAAAAAACTCCTGCTTTACATATTTGTATCCAGCTGAGTTTCACTCCACTGTGTTATGTGCAGCAATGACAGTATTTTTTTTTTTTTTTACAAGATGTTGAACATGGAAGGTGTACAGGGTAGCTGTTCCAGCTTTGACCTGAAAGTACTTCCCCCATTGAGGCTTCTGGTAACTGTCACACCTATGAGGCGGGGCCGAGACGGGAGCCCTTAAGACCTGAGATCCAGATGAGATCTGGATGTGCCCACTCTCTTGGTTCCTGATAAGCCTGGATGTTGGATGGTAGAGTGAGCAGAGTTCTCCAGAGAACACCGCTGGACTGCACTTCACCTCTCCTGGACCCTGTAACCTATCCCTTTACTTGTAAGTTACCCCCCCCCCCCAAATAAACCTCCCTTTTAACTACATGGAGTTGCCTTAATACTTCCACCGATAGGAAGGAGAAGCAGCACTGAGTCCATTTGTGACAGACTTGAATACTGAGCCCAGAGACTCAGAATTCAAGAGCCTTCCTACCTCCAAGGGTGAGTTCACTGTCAAGAGAAATGACCACCCTCACACCTGGGAGGGTAAGGGTAACGTGAAGAGGCCTTGTTACAGCTTAAAGCCTTCTGTGGTGCTTACTTGAGGGCGGTTCTGTAGTGGTAGATGGCTTCCTTGTTCCGACCTTGGTCTTTTAGGAAATTGGCATAGTTGTAATGAACCTTTGCATTGTGGGGCAGAGTCTGAACTCCAGACCTACAATGGATATTAAAAAGAAAGAAAACAAAAATCATACTGTTGTCAGACCCTTTTGTATTTTACTCTCAGCTTTATGAAGCTGCCTTTGAACGTCTGCTGCTTTCATCCCAAACAGGCTTCTGCATTTTGTGAATGGCATAAGTGACTACACAGGGAAGGAGTGAAGGCCTTGGCTAGGTGTGCACAACTGAATGCTCTCTGCAGGGAAGCACAGGGACCCTTTTCTCTGCTAGAGACACACCCGGGGCTGGTAAGGTCGGTCAACTTTGCTGAGGCTTTTTGTTTGGGATGTAGCGAACCCAACTGCAGACATGAAGGGAAAGAACACGACCAGGACACAAAGCCACGGAGTGTCCAGGCCAGTCTGTCCTTCCAACTTCAGGTGCAGTGGGCAGAGGATCTGACACAGGAGGCAGCCAAGTCAGACCCTGCAGAAGGTGATGCAGGCACCGTCCCTTGTTGAGGGATTCCAGCCCCAGGCAGGCCCTTCTCTCTCATGTCTACCTCAGGCAAAGGCTTTTTTAAATTTATGGCTAGAAAGTGACACAGCCTAAGTGATTTTGTGTGTGCAATACAAAGGTACAAGAAGGCAAGATGAGATGGATTTCATAAAGTGAGAATGCACAGCCCTATCACCAAAACCGCCCTTTAAGGCACGAGGCGAGATCTGACAAGTGCTGTCCTTGCTCTGTGTCTGGGTCTAGAATATATGGTCTGCATTAAATGCAGCATCCCAGAAGTATGGTGGCTTAAAACAAGTTTATAGACGTAAATGCTACAGTCCTTCAGTATCTATGTGGTACTGCCCCAGCACCGTGCTGTGCTGGGTATTGGGACATAAAATGGCCAGGGAGCTTGTTCTTGGGATCTTACCAGGGTGAGGACATGTGGGTAGTTAGGAAATAGAGGTAGTGAGAGAGCCTCTCATAAAGTGGGTAGGGTATCAACAAATCACCCGGAGCTTAGCTCAGAACAGAAACAGAACTGAGCAGGCAACAAAGCCGAGGCTTTGGAGATGAAGAGGAGAGCTGGGTTAGCAGCTAGAGGAAGAGGCAGTGCCATGTACTAAGCAGATGTGGTCTGAATGTGAAATGTCCCTCAGAGCTCACAGTGCTGCTATTCTGGAAGGTTGTGGAGCCTTAGGAGGAGGAAGGCAGCTAGAGGAAGTGGGTCACTGGGTCAAGAGTGGTGGTGAGACATGTGAGGTTTTATAGCCTGATCCACTTCCTATCTGTTTATCTGTTCTTCGTTTCCTGATGGCAGATGCAATGTGACGGGACACCTCTAGCTCCTGCTGCCATGCTTTCCTGGGCATGATGGTTTTTATCTCCCTAAACAGTGAGCCAAAATAAATCCTTAAGTTGCTTCTCATCAGGCATTTGATCAGGGCAACAAGCAGCCTAGAAGATGCAGGGAGAGGAGAGCAGGATCACTGGGGGTAGGAGAGCTGAAATAAGAGGTACCTGATCATGAGAGACCAGACAGAGTAAGGAGATCAACAGCCTAGTGATCGAGCAGAAAACTCTGGGCTTCATTTGCAAAGCAGTGGGGAAGTCAGGGCAGGGCTTTAAGGATAGAACTGATACCAACAATTGAGTGTTGGACAAGGAACACAGTGGCTGCTTTATGGAAATGGACTGCAGGCAGGGAAGCCTTCTGGGGAACTGCTGTGGAAATTGCAGAGGACAGAGGGAGGAAGCAGGGTGGGAAGGAGAGAAGGAGCAGAGGTTGGGTGTGGCCAGAAGGGGGAGGTAGCAGAATCTATGATAGTTTCCATTAGAGAAAACCTGTACCTACAGTTTTGTTTTTTTCCTTCCTTCATTCAGTTAGCCCTTCTTTTTGTTTTCTTTCTCTTTCTTTCTTTCTTTCTTTCTTTCTTTCTTTCTTTCTTTCTTTCTTTCTTTCTTTCTTTCTTTCAGTAATTTGAGATTGAGTAAAAAAATGAATCATTCAGAGAGATGAATGTCGGCTGACATCCCTATTGATAAAATTTATCAAAATTAATATTGCCATATTAAGCCTATGCTAATTTGAATTACTGTAGGAATAATTATTCTATAATTAATGAAATGAAGATTTTGGAAGTATCAAAATCCTTGCTTAAGCAAGTGATAAGCTGGGCAGTGGTGGTGCGTGCCTTTGATCCCAGGACTCAGGAGGCAGAGGTAAGTGGATCTCTGTGAGTTTGAGGCCAGCATGGTATACAGATTAAGTTCCAGGACAGTCAGAGCTACAGAGAGAAACCCTGTCTCAAAAAACCAAAAACCAAACCAAAACAACAACAACAACAACAAAGCAAATGACAGTTTGTTCAGCCAGCCATAGTGAAGCATCACAGTTTAAGTGGCTAAAACAAGAAATTTCTTTCTCTCAATTCTGGTGATTAGAATCTAAGCTCAGGTATTTGGTCAGTTCACTGTCTGGGTAGGCCCTGCTTCTGGCCTGTGGACATCTACTCTATGGTCAGTTCACTGTCTGGGTAGGCCCTGCTCCTGGCCTATAGACATCTACTCTATGGTCAGTTCACTGTCTGGGTAGGCCCTGCTCCTGGCCTGTAGACATCTACTCTTTAGCTGTGTCCTCCCATGGCCTTTCTTTGTCAGTGTGCCCAGTGAATAAGCTCTCATGTCCTCTTCCTGTAATAGCAACAGACCTTAGGTCTGGGCCCCATCCTAATGACTTCATTCATTAGCATTTCCCTCCTAGACTCCAACTCCAAATACAATAAAATTGTATGCTAAGGTGTCAACATATGAATTGAAATTGGGGGGACTCAGTCCACAAAAACCACACCACCTTTGCTCTCAACATAAGTACATAATGATTATCAATCAGCAGTGAGTGGCACGTCCACATGGCTAAATACCAATGCTGCATTTCCCATTAGACACTTGCCTAGATCTGAGATCACAGGCCCAAAGGGACCTCTAAAGGGGGATCCCCAAGCTCTGAAGACAATATGAGAAGGATGGGACCAGGAGAAAATCAGCTTGTGTGCATCCGGCTGCATGATTTGACTTGAAGACTGGACAGCAGGAAAGTGGCAGGGAGGGATTCAGGCACAAGGTGTTTGGGTCTGGAGCCTGTGCCTTTGCCTAAAGGGAAGTGGCGGCAGGACACTCTTGACAACAAAGTGGAGAGGGCAGAGGACTATTCAGAAAGAAAACTTCAGGGATTTATTTTGACTAAAGGAGAACGGGAAACAGTTGATGAGAACAAGAAAGGATGACAAGATGAGAACCTGCTTTGTGGGCAACTTAATTGTACCATATCACCTCTCTTAGATGAAATTTCCATTTAATTTTTAAACATGAAGATAATATTAGTAGGAAAATTCCACGCATTGTATAAAACCCACTGGGGAAATATAATAGGGCCAATTTTGCTGAAATCACAGCCTCTTTTTATTTTGCCTCACTTAAAGTCTTCTGGCTGGGGCTCAAGCAACTGTAGAGAGATCTGATGGGGCCATGGGAAGCTAGAGACCATCCCAAAGGACAGGTCAGCTAGACACAGAAGAAGCCAGGTTTACCCCCTGTTGCAGGGGCACAGATACTCCAAGTATCAGTTTCACTTCCTGTGGACTTATTCAGGGACACACCGCCGGACCACATGGTGACTCTATTTACAATTCTTTGCCAAACTTCTATACTGTTTCTAAGGATGGCTGAACTGGTTTCCACTCCTACCTAGAGTCTGCAAGGGCTCCATTTTCGTACCAAGCCCTCAACTGTACTTATTCTTGGCATGTTGGAAGCAACGGTTCTATGGAGCCCAAGCTCTCAACTCACAGTCCTGCTTTCTGATCCCAAGAACACTACACTCAGGTATAGACGTTTGCAGGTTGATGTAATCCCATTTCTCCATTTCTGCTTTTGTTGACCCGTGCTTACCCTTCACTGTGACATCTAAGAAATCACTGTCAGGGTCAGTATCAAATAGCTTTCCCCCTTATTCACCATAATCAAGATATGTTAACATAAGGCTCATGAATATATGAACAACAACAACAAAAGAAGCTGTGACTTGTATGTACAACAGAATATTATTAAGCTTTATAAATTGAGATTGTGCCATATGTGACACATGAGTAGGCCTGGAAGACATTATAAAAGCCACATATAGGAAAAATGCTGTGTGCATAAGAATTCATATCCATAGGAGCAGAGAGCAGGATGGTGATAACAGAAAGTAGAGAGGGAGAAATAAACTGAGACAGAGCATTTAAGATGTAAACCCAGTTAGGTGGGGTGATCCTAGAATTTACTCTGGATACCCTTCATTAAAACACTGTAATCTTGTTTATTTTTATCATGTCAATGAAAGACTTGAGGAGCCATAAAGTTCACCAGCAATAAAACAGTGTGGGTGTGCACGTCTCCTAAGTGCTGAGGTCACAGCAGTATGCCAACCCTCAGCATTTTGTTTTGTTTTTAAGACTCATTTTTATGTGTATGTGTGTTTTGCCTTCATGTAGTCTGTGCAGTGCCCTCAGAGACCAGAAGAGGGAATCTGATCCATTGGAATTGGAGTTACAGATGGTTGTGAGCTGTCATATGGGTGTTGGGAATCAAAAGTCCTCTGGAAAAGCATCCAGGACTCCTAACCACTGAGCCATCTCTCCAGCTCTCACCACTCAGCGCTTTAACACATGCATTTCCCGTGACTCCCTCACGCCTCTCACTTGTAGACGACTTGAGAAGTGAAAGAAATAGAAAAACAACAACAAACAGCCACCGTCATCAGATGTCTCTCCTGGGGTGTAGAACATCAACTTACTTTGTTCACATTACTGAATAGCATAACTAGAGACAAAACATTAAAGCACCACAAATGGCAGCTAGCACATTAGAGCAAAGGAAAAGAGGAGAGATCTATCTCTGTTTTGAATCCTGCTTTGGTCCACGGTTTCATACTGCCACCACAGATGGTGATGCTTGCATACCACTAACCTTGAACCAAACACTGGGTCAAGTGCCCACCTACCCTATATCATC